AAAAATAAATAAATAAAAAAAAAGGAAAAAAATGCGTAAGGGGGAAGAAGAGAATCGTTTTCACGTTTATTCATACAGTAAGTAGTAATTATCAATGTATATATTCAATACCTCAGCGAGGTTCTATTGTCTTCAAAAACGATAGAACGCATACATAATTAATCCTTTTGCATGCATAATAAATGTTCGGGTTATATGGAAATTTTTCCAAATATGGGGCTGTAAATAGCCTACATAATTTTCTGATTTTTTTATTCAATTTCTTGTCTAGACTAGTTTAGACTACTCGAGCACTCATGATGTATTAATTTGCCAGACGAAACCAGCTTGTTTTTTAAGAGCTCTGCACCTTAAATTTTAGTGCATCGCAAACCTTCAGATCCTATGTATAGTAATGGCAAGCGTTGTTTTCGCCGACTCGAACCATTATCGCACTTTATTACCTGTAGACATGAACACAACCCGGCCTAGTCTTGCAAGGAAATCGCGGTAAGTGTCATGTGACACTGAATTGACCAATAAAACGAAGCTATATCCAAGTTTGGAAACCTAGAGCTCTCCTGGGAACAAAGCAGGAAGTTCTACCTCGATTCGTACGGTTACTGTCTGTATTTAGCGACGGACGCGTTATTTACGTTATTTGAGTTGATTTGGTTTTAAAGTAGTGTCCTTCAATCATGGGGTGAGGTCATCTTTTCACCAAACACGTCACCATGTAGCCTGCCATCAACATAACGGTGAAGAACGTTTGTTTAGTTGTAAAGACAGTTGCCTCGTGGGTTTGTGTCTGCTCGTCGATCGATCAAAATTAAGAAGGTAAGCGTTGAGAGTTTACATTAGTTTTATTCTCCAAGGTCTGCTTGAAGCTTCCAGATTAGGATGAAGATCTTTTTCAATCATTTTGGATGTGTTGCAATGGTATCTTGAGTTTAACTAGCCCGTGCAATTGCAATGGGAATCTCAGCGCTTACTGGCAGCTCGTTTGATCGCTAGTGTCACACACGGCGAGCCCAATCGATGAAAATCGATCATTGGAAGGCAGTCGCTAATAATCAATCGATTATTATTGATTGCCTCAGTTAATCGACGAAAATCGATACTCACAATTTAAATCCTCGTAAGTGCTATCGAATATATCGATTGTCATTGATTGTCATCAATATCTTACTTGGCAAAGTCTTGAAATCAAGGATACTTTCAGTTGTCACGTAGCTTTTGCATTCAGTGCGTGTTAGGCTGGCTATATAGTAATGGACGTGGTTGTGATAGAGGTAGTGAAAGGGTACGGATGAGTGTGAGGTTATTGTTTAGACAGGAGAAACATTTATCTTGGGAAAGAAAATAGGTAGCCGTGGCAAGGTATTCTGCATGGTTAGTTCCAAAGTCCTGACAACTCAGACAAATTCAAAAAGAATTTGCCAAACCCCTATGGCCACTTGAAGCAACTATTGAATAATAAGCATTTCTTATTAATGCGAGCACTACCTCTTTCAAACTGTCTCTTCCAAATTGAAACGCTTGTTCATATGTTTCTTGAGTGCCCTGCAGTTGAACCCTTTTGGAAAGACGTTATAACATGGTGGAATACCGAGCATTCTGACCATATTAATCCCAATTACTCTCATTAAATCATTATCTTCTCATTTCTAAATACCATATTACCGTAAAGTTCCGATAGTAACGACCCC